CCCATCTTTTCTATGCGATTTGGCAATGGTTAGACTGTGTGGCCTACAAGGAGGGGATCCACTAATTCCCACTCAATGCGAGGACGTTTGGATGATCATTAGGGATCCCCTGGTACACGAAACTAAAGGAGTGATCCTTATCCCGGTGGCAGGTTCTGCTTGACTTAAAGATGGAGACTAACGCCCCAGGGGTATTTAAGTAGTCCTCCTTGTGTACCCGAAGCTCGCACAAAAGTCCTGAGTATAAAACAAGCATTTAGTCAATGGAAAGCAGTTCTGTATGCCATCAAGGTTTAATCTTTTATACTTAGTCATGTTTGATACCAGTTAAGTATATAATAGATTGTTTGAGTAGAAAGCGTTTGTCATAAGGTGACACTTGCGAGTACACGCTTTGAAGGACGGATTATTTTCGATCATATGAAATGAGCCATCTCTAAACCGAATAGTTGATTGTTTGTGCAGTTTCAGTTCGCCCTATAAGATCACACAGTTTTTGACAAAAACACTGATTTCAGAAGATAAATTAGCGAACATAAGTTTGTTTTCGATAATTTTTTGTCGGCCCTGTACATTTATATCTCACTTAAGTAAATACACTATGTGGGTTGGTTGAAAACATTGTGCGGATGTCAGGGAAGGTGGGTAGGTGGGATAATCGGGGTCAAAAATCTGATCAGCGTTAGAAGGGGACTGGTAGCCGAGAAAGGTGATAAGCTGCGGGTTGTTGGATTAGTGACTTTCGGCCATGGTAACTGTAGAGCCGCGACGAAGTTCTTTTGGACGCACAGGACCGGTCGGCATAGCCGGATGGCGGCCGCTTCTGCCCTAACCAAAGACAATGTCTAAGGATTTTCGAATACCTTGCGGGCACCTTGTAGATCACTCGAATGGCCTCTCTGGCATTCGCGCGATGGTCTGAGTCTGCCAGGTGCTCTAGAATGGAACTGTTTATACCTTTTACGTTGCCCTTCCCTAACCATGTTAAAAGGTGTTCTCGTACACTTTCGGACCAACGCCGGTTCGTGCGACAATATATCCTGCCCCACAGGAGCCGGTGAATGGATATATGCACACAGAGGTGGTCTGGGCTGGCAGTTTGTATTTGACTTCTCTGTATAAGGTGAGAGTAGCCGAGAACCGTACATGGGCGTTGGCTGCTGGGAAGT